AAGCTGTTCTCTGCACATGATCGCAATCAGCTCTTAAAAGCTATTGCTGTGTTCTGTAAAACCAAAAAGAGATCGCTAGCGCTCTCCGATGCTGGATTTCCTGGTTATGGATCAATTTTTTTGCATGAGAGTTTGCCAAAAATGCTGCGTGAGGTGATGTCGTATGCGTCGGAGCTTAGGCGGAAGAAACAGTTGGCGTCAACCTTCTCCATCCGTGGCAGAGTTTTTGAACGGCTTAAACCAGGCGAGGAGCCCAAACTGGTGAGAAGCAGGGCCAAGGTTAATGCTCTTATTAGCACTAGAAAAAAATTAGGTATATGTTCGTTGTGAAATCGTATTTTTTATTGTGGTTAGTTTATGCCAGCTTAGAAGTTAAGTTAGTTGTATGCTTGTTCTCTTTCTTCCTATGCCCAATACTCTTGATTAGTTATTTGTTTACTGTTTTATTTCTATGCTTTAAGCAATTTTTCTTTGTTCCCTTGATTTCGGTCTATGAAAGTGTATGTTATTTTCGCCTGTTCTCAATTTGCTCTTTTCTCCTGCTTACATTGTTTTTTTGCAATCACATACAAAACATGGGTACCAAATGAAATAATTTGTTCACAAGTACGAATGGGAATTGAAAATACCCCTTAAATTAACTTAATTTTTTTGAGCTAATAAAGTTAGGCCTTAACATATAATTTTTTTTTTTAATAAAAATTGCGAAATTTCAAGGGTATTCAAGAATAAAATTATAAAAGGGTAGTAAAATCTATTGTGTTTTAATTCTACAGAATCTTATCATTTATTTGACACCCATACCATTTTTTAAGTATACTGCACTGAAATTCTTAAACCATTTTTTGAATTGCTCATTTGTTTCAAATTTCAAAGTTCTTTTAAAAACTCCTGACGTAAGAGAGAAAAATTAAGAACCCAAGTTTATTATATTTGGCCTTGCCTGTCGCAAGGTATTATATGCATATTGAGCTACACATTTATAAAAACAAGATTTAAATATTAAATAAACAAAAGAAATATAGCAAAAACTCGTCAACATAAAGCGTTTCTATATCCGGAAAATCCCGGAATTCTAGGCAAATAATCCCGGGATTTTCAGGATTAAAAATCCTAGTATACACATCAAAAGCATTTCATTAAAACAAGAAACCAGTTTCCTTTTTTAGAATTACTGTTTTTTTTCCTTAATATTACGAAACATTTACTCAATTTGAGAACTCTTTCCTTAAGGTTTATGCTCAAAAACGGGCGTCAGTAATTTGAGGAAGTAAATTTACTCAATAAAAGTAGTAATTTCCTTATATAATTTTGAATTTTGTCAGTGCTGTGAAGACAAAAAAGCGGTGCGGTGCCATCATTCGAGATGCAAAGTTGCCAAAGTAGCTGTCATTTTTTTATACCCACTTGTGCACAAGGGTATATTAACTTTGTTCACATACCCGGTTGTTTGCAACAGCCAAAATCGAGATATATATAGACCAGAGGTTCCCAAACTTTTTTTTCTCGTAGACCCCTTTCAAAAATTGACTGGTTTCGGTGCTGATACATTTCTAAATATTCCCAAAGCTCGTACAAAATAAATGTGAGGATTAGATCTAACAATATAAATTTGAATCGCGGTTGAATTAAAAAGCTAAACTCAGTGTGGCCAAAATAAAGGTAAACTATTTTCTTGTATTCTATTTATAAAAATAATGCGAGCATTGCGAGCGCTAGTATTATTTACATTATCTTCATCATAAACTCATCAAATGTTCAGCGCACTCATGGCTTTGCACGTGGAGTATTTGTAAAATACTTAGTTTATTTGTATTAATGGCATAATTTTTATTTTTATCGCACCGAGTTTTAAAGTGAGGCGAAAAATATTTATCACATTTTTAAAACACAAAACATAAAACATCTAAACGGCTAACATTTTACGCCAAACTTTTAATTCAGAAACTGACAATAGAGAAAAGAACGAGTTTAAAAGAATCGATGACTGCCGTCTTATCATCTTCTCATCAATGGACTTGTCATTTACGCCTATCACATTCAGGTGTTTGTGCCACGGGAAGTGACCAATCAGCACTCCAGCAAGTTGTCTGCAATGTCGTCTGCTCAGTGAGAGCAAAAAATTAGATAGACCATGTGAGATTGAAGGTAACCAGTGATGCCAGATTGTGGGTAATTTCCCTATTTGAGGGATATTTTGTATCAAAAATTACTAAAAGGGATCATATAAATAAGGGATTTTCGCAGTTATTGTTGCTTAATTGATCAAAATTCAAGAATATTCGACATTCTTACGTAATTTATCGTTTTGAAGATGTGATGTGGAGTGAAATGGTATAAAATTTTTAAAAAGTATAAGGACAATTTCGAAAATTTTCTTACGTTAACCAATTCAAGCGCTGAGCAAGAAAGAATCTTTTCAGTTGTAACTGGTGTTTCATGTAAAAAGCGGAACAAATTATCTGATGAAATGTTAAATAGCACATGAGTGTGCTTCAATTTTAAAGTCACCAAAAAATTCTTTTGGCCCGTAGTGAGTGAGCAAAAAAATGAAAGTGAAAAAATGAATGAGTGAAAAAAATGCAGAAAAAGGGGTTTTTTCTTTACAGCGGTCGGGAGGCAATGGCAAACCTCCGAGTGTATTCCTGCCATGAAAAACAGCTTTTCATAAAAATACAGTCGCCATTCGGAGTCGGCGTAAAACTGTAGGTCCCTCCCCTTTGTGTGACAACATCAAGGGGACCGCCACAAATTGGAAGAAAAGCACATATGTGTGAGCGCCAAACTATTATTATTATTTTATATGAATTTTACTTCTTTACTACTGAAACATGTATATGTTTAAATTCGTTGGGAATTTTGTGGGACTAATTTTCAAGATGTGGGTAATTGAGGGATTTTTCCCCCATTTTCGTGGGATTTTTAACAGGGAATGTCTGGCATCACTGAAGGTAACATGAGTTTTGCCCACTTGCATCCCCTCGATGCCTCTCAGTCATTGCTGAGCGAAGTATTCACCCAATTTCTGATGATGGCTTCGATTGCCGAAGGTGGGAGTGCTAAAACTGGTTGCGGACCGAGGAATGCCTGGTCTGAGCCGACTCCGGCCAAATGATTAGATGCCTCATAACCAGGTACTCCTGAGTGACCTGGCACACAGAGTAAAACAACCTCATTATATTCACCATCATATTTTAGTCGAGATTTGCATTGCCGAAGTAGTTTGGAAGTACTTAAATAGAGAGATGGTCAATGCCTTAAGTGCAGCTTGGTTGTCACTGCAGTCACGTAAACTCCTTCCCCTCCACCTATGTTCCTCCACGTAGTGCATGGCTTTGAGTATTGCAATTACCTTATCCTGGAAGACCGAAGCATATTACCCTACAGAACAGTGAAGCTTATTTCCATTAACTCTGAAAAAGACCCCAGATCATGACCCAGAGTCAGTTTTGGAGCCACCAGTGAAGATTCGAGAATGTGTGAGTCCGGTCTTAGCGACGGAATCAAATCAGCATTCAGTCTCAGGGTACTCAACTGTAACATTGAAAAGACACAAGTGTTTAAATCTCTGCCGAGAGCAATTTTCGTCGCGCCCCACTCAGTGTCATACCAGCATCCGGTTCTTTTTAGTCTGCAGGTGGCCTTTAAGGATTCCCCTTGTATGAAAACACAGGGCTAGTTTCTCCAACTCAACTTAACTTAGTTAGCCTACGTTTTACACAGCTTATTCTTGACTAAGTCAAGAAAATTGGCTTAACTAAGTTAAGTTGAGTTGGAGAAACCAGCCCATAGTGATGGTAAGCAGTGTGTCAAGAGGACTATACACTAATCAAAAAAATTTAAGTTAAATAAAGAGGCTATCAAGCAACCATTTTGATTCTCTACATCGAAAACAGATAAATTTTCGTGGACCCCCATTTTTTTTCACGTCACCGTGGACCCCTCGGGGTCCACCTGGACCACTTTGGGAATCACTGATATAGACAAATGTATACAAAAATGAGCACAATAAAAAGAGAAGTCGATTAAGCCATATCTGTCTGTCCGTCCGTCCGTCTGTGGGGCGAAATCGGACCGTAACCACGCCCACTTCCCATATAACGGTAGTTTTCAGAAATACGAAAACTGCGATATTTTAGTAACTACTAAAGCTTGTTCACTGAAAATTGATATTTACATTGTAAAAATATAATTAAACACACGAGTTTTGTCCCGAGTAATGACGGTCTCGGCGGTCGATTTAATATTGACTTATCTTTTTTTCTTCAGTGTTACAATAGGTACTTATTTATGTGCAAAGTTCAAGTTTCGTTAAGTTAAGCTTTGTCAAAGTTAACTGTTATAAATACAATGTTGCCAACCAAATGTTGCTAATCCAATATTGATATAATTAATTTTCTACATCCTCGGCCCCGGCCAATGAAGATGCAATCTCCATCGGATACAACAATTGTATTGGCCGCTTCAGTATCTGCTGGTTTTGTACCCGAATATCGCACGATCGAACACGGCCATCTCTTCCTTTGTAAACGTGGATGATTACCGCCAGTCGCCAGAGCAAACGAGGCTTGTTGTATTCGTGAACTAATACCACATCACCCACTTTAACGCTTCGAACTGGTCCGCTTTTGTTGTGGTGAATAGTTCGCAGCTGTTGCAGGTATTCGGTACGCCACCTCTTCAAGTATTTCTTAATTAAAGTTTGGCGCAACTGCCACGCTTTCGCTATTGATGAACCATCGCTTTTAAAATCTGTTTGGAGTAAAGAAGATTTGCAATTAGTTAGGAAATGAGATGGAGTAAGTGGCTCCAAATCATTTTGGTCACTAGAGATATAAGTTAAAGGCCTCGCATTGACAACGCTTTCAACTTCCGCTAGCAATGTAGTGAGGTCATCTATCGTTAGGCTCGCTTTTCCGATTGCTGCCTTTAAGCAATTCTTGACTCTTCTAACAAGCCGCTCCCAAAATCCAACCCACCATGCGGCTCGCTCTGGTATAAATCTCCATGAGATATTCTGGTGTGCCGCCATTTCCTGGACTTCGCTGGTTTCCATCAGGTCGTTCAATTTTTGGAGCTCAAGACCTGCTCGCTTAAAAGTTTTAGCATTGTCCGACATCATAACCGCTGGAACGCCTCGTCTCGCCATAAATCGTCGCAGTGCATCAATGCAGCTCTTCGTTGATAGATCTGCCACTAGTTCGAGATGAACCGCTCGAATCGCGGCACACGTCAGTAGCATGACGTATACTTTCCGCTCTTCGCCGTTGTTGTGTGTCTTTGCGTAAAGTGGACCCGCGAAGTCAACGCCAGTTGTTTCAAATGGCCGGCTCGTTGATACTCTCTCGGCTGGTAATGTAGTCCAGGGTTCGTTAGCACTCTTACCATGCAGTCTCTTGCATATTACGCAATGCCGCAGAGTCGTTTTGATTAGCTGCCGCGCTTTCACGATCCAAAATTTCTTTCGTATTTGGCATAGCACTGAATTGATGCCCCCATGAAGTACGGTTTGATGCGCCTCGCGTACAACTAGTTGGCTGTAATGAGAATTTTTGGGTAAAATTATTGGACTAAAATTACCATAATCGCTTGACGGAAGTCTGCTGTTGAGCCTCAAGATGCCATCAACGAGAACAGGGTTCAATGACCCGATTTTTGAATACGATGGTATCGAACGCTGTTGCTCCAACGCCATAATTTCTTCCCTATACTCGCTCTGCTGGGTATATTTAATCCAATAAGATTCTGCTTCATTTAGTTCGCTCGCTGACAACTCGCTGATTTCGCCACTTGTAGTATTTTGCCGATTTCTAATCGTCGCGTTTGTTTTTAAGTTTCGTATGAATCGTAATATGTACGCTGTTACTCTTAAGAGCCGCTTGAGTTTGCTAAAGCTCTCTACAACTAGCAGTGGTTTCAGCTCCTGAGCGCTTAGTTTTCCGCTAGCATTTAACAGCAGGCTAGTTGTCTTGTCGACGAAGAACTCCTCTGGCCATTTCGACTCAATCTCTCCCAGCCAGATGGGTCCGTGTTTCCATACGGTTGAATCGACTAGCACCTTAGCTTTCACTCCTCGTGTTAAAAGATCAGCTGGATTTGTTTTTCCTTGGCAATGTCTCCAATCGTATATATTTGTAATCTTAATTATCTCGTTCACGCGCGCTTTTACATAGGGCTTTATCTGCTTGCCTTGTCCATTGATCCAATTGAGTGCAATAGCTGAGTCAGTCCACAAGGTCGTTGAGTGCACTTCGAAGTCGAGTGCATCAACTAGAAATTGCTTTAGTCTTGCTGCTGTTAAGGCTGCAGTTAGCTCCAGCTTAGGTAATGTAAGCTCGGCGCTACGCTTGGACTTTTCTATGGGACTCACTCTATTTTTTGAACATACAAAATTTGTTGTTATAGTTCCTCTCGCTGCAATTTGTCGTATGTACGCTACAGCACCGTAGACTTTCGGGCTAGCATCAGCGAATATGTGAAGCTCGTTTCTAACTCCATCGCTCTGTGAGAGACTTCGTTGCATTTTAAATTCAGCAAGGAAATTCAGCTCTTCTTGCCAGCATTGGAATTCACTCAATATGTCTCCGCTTAGCGTATGGTCCCACTCGATATTTTCTCTCCATATGTTCTGTAGAACTATTTTTATTCGTACCGTAAAGGGCCCTAGCATTCCCAATGGGTCATAAATTCTTGCCATAGCCTTCATGACATTTCGCTTTGTTGGTCTTAAGGCTTGAAGAAACGCATTGCTACTCGCCACATTAACGCTGATTTCATCGCTCCCTGTATACCAATTGATGCCTAAAACTTTTTGGCTTTTCGCTTCTTCTGTTTCCTCGGTTTTGAAGAACTTTCGTAGCCGAACGTCATTCGAATTCCATTTCCTCAAATTGAATTTCGCCGCTGCCATTATTTCATTTGCTTGAACGAAGGTTGTTTTAGCTTCTTCGTGACTGGACACGCTTATTACTAAATCGTCAACATAAAACGATTTCTTCAGCTTGTCGCATATGGGACCATATTGCTGCGCAGATATAGTAAGGTGTTTTTGTATTGTCGCTGATAGCAAGAAAGGGCTCGAAGTTGTGCCAAATGTCACCCGCGCCATTCGATATTCGACTATTTTTGGCAATCGCTCGTTTTCTTTCGGCATCGTTTCATACCACAAAAACCGATGTGAGTCACGATCTTCCTCGGCTATTGAGATTTGTAGGAAAGCCTTTTCTATATCTGCTATCACCGCTATAGCATTCGACCGAAATCTCAGCAAAGTTTTTGTAAGATCAGCTATAAGATTGTCGCCTGCGCTTAAATGGTCATTCAAAGACATAAGTCCCGGCTCGCTCGAAGAGGCGTCGAAAACTATTCGCGTCTTTGTCGTAGTTTTATCCTCCCGATACACTGGCTTATGAGGCATATAATAAACCCGCATGCCACTTGATACCTCACTGACTTTTTCTGCCACACCGCTTTGTAATAGTTCTCTCATACGCAGATCGTACTCGACTAGCTTTTCATTATTTTGTAGTAATTTATTTGTTAAACTACGCAATCTACCAAGTGCTATGTCTTTATTGTTGTGCAATGTTCCGCTAGAGTTTTTCCACGGTAAGTTTACGACATAACGGTCATTTAATTTCTTTATTTCGGATATTGTTCTTTTTATTAAATTGTCTTCGCACGCTAAGCTGCTACTAATGCCAACAGACTCTAGGTTCCAAAATTTCGTTATGTCAAACGTTTCCTCACAAACTTCTGCATAATTTGTTATTGTAAACTTCTGGCCGTTGTGCTCCTCATGATGGCCTTGTACTGTCCACCCGAAGAATGTTTTCACAGCCACTAGGTGGTCGGAAATCATTTGTGTTTCGCCCGTATTAAATTTCCAATAACTGTCTTGTCCGATTAGAATGTTAATACCCTCTATTAATTCTACATTGCTAATTTTATTGTCCGCTAGTCCTACTGCTATGTGCTTAAATTTTTTGTTTTTAATATTTGGCACGGGTAAAATATCTACGCATATGTTCGGCACTACAATCGCTTTAATTTGTATCGCTTTTTCGTTATACTGGCTTTGCAGTGAAAGCTCAACAATTTTAAAATTAGTCGCTTTTTTATTTTGCTTTTTGTCACCGAATGCCATAATTTTCATTTTCTCAAATCCGCATGTAGGTAGGTTGAGAACGTTGGTTAATTTTTCGCTAATGTATGTTCGCTGGCTACCGTTGTCCATTATTAATCGCGACATTACGCTGTTGCTGTTGTTAATTTCGCTTACGACAGCTTTTGCTGTTTGAAGAAATATTTCTCCTTCGCTGAATTCAATGGTATTGAGCGCCGCTGCGCCTATTACATTCGCTGACGTTGACGCCTCTTCATGGCGTTCTCTTTGCTGCATTCTGTCGCTTCGCCCTTGATTGTCGCCGCTCGTGTTGTCTCTTGATCGCCGCTCACACATTGATGTTATGTGGCGGCCGCTACATGTTTCGCAACGTATCCATTGCGCTTTGCACAACTTAGAGTTGTGATTTTTGTTGGCACATCGGAAACATCTCCCTTCTCTTCGCATAATAGCTTTTTTCTGCTCGATGCTTAAATCGCTTTTGCAGTTTCGGGCTGCATGTGCCTTCTTGCAAAAAAGCATTGTTGCTGCACGTTGCTGCCTGCAAATAAGCCCGCTGCTGTGCTAGTGCTGCGCATCCGAACTTCTTTGCGCTCACGCTCATCACCTTTTCTGTCGCGCTCTGACAATTGTGATTTTTCCAAAGCTTCCAATTCGACCTTTATAAATTTAAGAAGGTTATTTAACTGCTCTCCTTCATTTCCGCTGGTTTTCATGTGCTCGTTTGCTGTATCAATACTGGAGTTCAGCATTGTGATGCTATTGGCTGGCTTGTCCGCCGATCTGTAGAACTGTACGCGCATTGTTGCGGGAATAGCCTTTAGTAGAATGGACTTTACCATTATATCATATTGTGACGATGATATTTGAAACGCTATGAGAGACCTCATTGTAGAAGTCACTTCATTGTAAAGTTGCCGAAGCCCACGCACATCGGCTGATGATTGTACCGGCTTTATGCTCATCAATTTTTGGACAAATTTTTCGACAATTTTGTCGTTGTTGCCATACTCTTCATGTAGGAGAGAGATAGCCTCGCTATAGCATTTTTCAGTTGGAGTAAATCCCGCTATTGACGCTGCTGCCTTGCCGATCAAGGTCTCGCTAAGAAAGTTAAATTTTGCCGCTACGGACAGCTTCTTGTTCTCGTGAACGGCTCGCTTGAATTGTTCCCAGAAAGGTAACCAATGTTCGAAATTTCCGTCGAACTTTTTCAATTCGCAGGCTTTTAGCTTCACGCCACTATAGCCGTCGCCGTCGCCACTCGCTGCGGCAATTGTGTCTTCGCCGGAATTCTTAGATTGGCCTTCTGCTGCAGGCGCTGTTTTGAAGTAAGTGCGTACTACGTGCTCTAGCTGTGCTATAGCTGAAACCGCTTTGTCATCGTATTCCAATATGGTTTCACACTCCTTTTCAAAATCTTCCTGCTTGATTGAGGGCCGCAAGGCTTCATCAGCCGCTTTCAAATTTCTATGAGCATTTTTAAGCCGCTCAATGTAAACTGCCATCTCCGACTCCACCACCATTGGATCGCTGACTTCCGAGAAGCTTATGGTATTAAAAGTTTTGAGGTAGTCGGCGATAGTGTTACACAATTTCGTGACTTGTGCGCGACAGGTGGAACGATATACGGCCTCCATTTTTCACCAAAATTCCGACCGCTAGTTATTAGATTTCGCTACGACTTATTCAAATAAGTCACCTTTTCGCTAATAGCTTAAATAAAGTTTTTTTTTCGCTTATATGTATTAACTCAGCCCGCACGTTAGTGTATAATCCGCTTAACGATTTGATTACACAACCGTCCCGGGTTTCGGCACCATGTAAAAATATAATTAAACACACGAGTTTTGTCCCGAGTAATGACGGTCTCGGCGGTCGATTTAATATTGACTTATCTTTTTTTCTTCAGTGTTACAATAGGTACTTATTTATGTGCAAAGTTCAAGTTTCGTTAAGTTAAGCTTTGTCAAAGTTAACTGTTATAAATACAATGTTGCTAACCAAATGTTGCTAATCCAATATTGATATAATTAATTTTCTACATACATATAATGATTTTCAGACGTAAAATAAGAATAATATTCATTTTTGGAAAATGGGCGTAGCCACTCCCACTTATGATTACATGTATATAACTTGGTAACCGCTAGATCAGTTTCTCTCAAGCTTGCACAGTTGTTAGCCTTGGTAAAACAAACAAAACGGCTGAAATTTTTTAAAATCGGACAGTAATCACGCCCATATCCCACATAACGGTAATTTAGAGTAATAAGTAGCTAACTTATTCAAAATTGATGTTTGCAATAATTCTTTAGCAAAAAACATGTGTTTGATACATTTTTGGAAAATGGACGTGCCAGTTGTGTATATCTCGGTAACTGTTCAATCAATTTGTACTAAGCTTGGTACGATTATTTCCCTTGCCACATAAAAGAAAAACATTAAAAATTATTGAAATCGTACTAAAATTACGGCCACTTTTCATATAACGATAAATTTTAGAAATTCTTGAAACTTCGATATTTCGAAATTTTAGGTCGCTAATTTACTCACAATTGACACTAACAGCAATCCCTTGAAAAGAAGAAACATTATTATAGAATTTTGGAAAGTGGGCGTGATAACGCACACATATAACTATATAAGTTTCTCTCATTAAGTATAACTGAACATACTATCGAAATTGTTAGAAATAGGGGTAGAACCATATCTTATCATCTTATATTACCATGTAATGGTAGTTTTCAGAAAGGTGAATAACTATAGACAACATAGACTTTTTACTTGTTTAATTTACTTTGTTTTTGTTATTTTTTTTTGGCCTTATAACAATTATATTCAACAATTTTTATTGAGCTCGAGGCCGTTTTATAATGAAAATTTATTATGGAAAAGCAACAATAACTAAAAAAAAAATAGTAGAAGTGATAGCTATTTCGGAAATCACCACATTTCCTCATCAGACTTCTTTCAGTAGGCTTCGAACCGACGATCCCACTGACTCAGCCAGTTGCCTATGCACCGTACTAAGTACGCCTTGTAAATTATCGTTTACCTTTTCCACTATTTTTAATTTTTGTTATGCCAAAACAATCAAGCGCAGCTATTCCGCTGCAACTCACTTGATCATGTGGTTCTTGGTACTGTTGGTTTTTGATAATAATTCTATTTTTAGAATGTTTAACTTTTAGGTGTGCTCGTCCTTAAGTTATTTGTTTTTGTTATTTTTTTTTTGGCCTTATAACAATTATATTCAACAATTTTTATTGAGCTCGAGGCCGTTTTATAATGAAAATTTGAAATAAGGCCAAAAAAATAACAAAAACAAATAACTTAAGGACGAGCACACCTAAAAGTTAAACATTCTAAAAATAGAATTATTAGCAAAAACCAACAATACCAACAACCACATTATCAAGTGAATTGCAGCGGAATAGCTGCGCTTGATTGTGTTGGCATAACAAAAATGAAAAATAGTGGAAAAAAGCAAACGATAATTTACAAGGCGTACTTAGCACGGTGCATAGGCAACTGGCGGAGTCAGTGGGATCGTCGGTTCGAAGCCTACTGAAAGAAGTCTGATGAGGAAATGTGTTGTTTTCCAAAATAGCTATCACTTCTACCATTTTTTCAAATTATTGTTGCTTTTCCACAATAAATTTTCATGATGAAACGGCCTCGAGCTCAATAAAATTTGTTGAATATAAGTGTTTAATTTATTCGCCGTTTTATTGATGTTTATAAATTCAAACAAGTCAGGATTCGATGAAAAGTTATTTATTAAAACACTTTTGTTTTTATTTCATAAATATATTAGTTATGTACTGCATATGTATGTATATATATATATATATATATCAGTCAAAAAAATAAAAATCCTGTAATACGACCGCAATCAGACACAGATTTTAATATTTGCTATAGTAATAATCCTCCATGAATCTCCCTTTCCTACGATAATTCAGAGAGGCCGTGTGTTTATTTTTCCCATAGGAATAACACGTATGAAGATAAGTTATTCTCTTTTGAGGTCAATATAAATTTCTAGGATCAATCAACACGTCCGAACTGAAAGAGTATATTGATTATACGCCATTTAAGAGTTATACAGGTTCAGATTCCTTACCCTGCAAGAACAGTGACTATCATTTGACAAATCATTTGAGTGGCAAGACTGATAGAGATTTCTGTCACTGGCTACCTACAAGTTTATATCAAATTCTAAAGGGCTGTGTGAAAAATCTGATGTAAACATTTGTGTACAAATTCTTCCGTCTTCCTCCAACTTATGGCCTTATTTTATGGTCTCTTTTTAACCAACGCAAAATTTGCATATTTTTATTGATGTTTGTAAGATAAATGAGAATGTGTTAGTTTCCATCACACAATTCTTGTAGGGTTAAGTTCCAAATTTTTTTCCAAAAACAATTCTTCCTGACAAGTTAATTTTTCCTAAGAAAGAAAATAGTACTAAAACTAAGGAATTTTGTTTTCCTTAAACTGTGTCAAATCGTCTACTCATATCACGGCAGCCATGTCTTTGGATCCATTTCTAGGTAATATATCCTTAGAATGTAGATTGTTTGTACATATGTATATGCATTTGCAAACGAGTTTTATGTACATACATATGTAAATTGTTAATTTTTTGATACTTCCTTGCAGTGAAAAGCCAAACCAGTTAGAAAAAATACTAGTTCATTAACTAGTATGTGCCTACCAGTTCGACAATTTCGAAGAACTTAGGCGATCAGCGACATCTGCCTTTGAATTGCCAAAGCCGAAAATAAAACGCAATCAATTGCTTTTCTTACAAATGTCGGCTGTGGCGTCACGTGAAAGCTACTGGTTCTGGTTCTGAAATCGCAGGTTCTCGAGGCCGCTTGGAGGTGGTTAAGATTTTTAAAGTTAAATAAATGTAAGTAAAAATAATTTATTCAATTTATAAATAAATAACAAGTTTGAAAATCTAATTGCATTGCAAAAAAAACATTTAGGAAGAAATGCTTGTGCTATAAAAAAAAATTAAACAAAAATATTCTTTTTATTAAATTTAAATATTACAATAAACAGCATAAACAAAAAAATAAATTTATAAAAAATAAAAATTAAGTAAAAAATAGAAAATTAAAAAAATTTCCCTGCGCCAGGATTTGAACCTGGGACCTCAGGCTAACCATGCGAGTGCTCTGCTCTGTCGGCCATTGTGACTGCTGAAGCGTCGCGAGCAAAAACGCACACTTATGCTTTTCGCGGGGCATGAATTGGCAGATTATCTCATCAACTGGTATGATGCTACTAGTATTTATACTAGTAGATGCTGATGCATAGCCTGACAATTGACATCTCGTGGAAAAATCGCAATGTTAAAAATGCCAGTCGCTAACATTGAAAAAGGATAGAACGTGAACTAGTTCGGCTGAACCGCAAACCGGTAGAATTCTAGTTCACAACTAGTAGCTTTCCCTGCAGGGTTTCGATATGCTCTTACATATATACATATATGTGTCTCGATAACTACTTGAAATTTCCCGACAGAGTGGCGGTACGCGAGAATCGTACATCCCTTGTGTTTTAATAAAAAGAGAACAAAGTGGCATTAAGAATAAGAAAGTTCTGTAGAGAATACCACTGAAAAGGGCAGAATTTTTTCAGGAATTCGGGGTAATTAGCTTTGAGAGAGTTGGCATCCCTGGTATTTGTACCAAATAAAAGGACTATTTTTTGGGGTCGCATATGAAAACTTCGCTGTGGGTCACAAAAAAAATATTTATCAAAATTTGGGCCTCTATCTTCATTTCTCAGTTAGCGCTAGGGAAAAACGGAAAAACATTCTTCCCGTTTTTTGTATAAACAAATAATTAAAAACCCCTTGAAGCCCATTCAAATTTAGTATAATGGAATGCAAGTTGTGCATTTTCTCCATATATAAAAAATTGCAGAACATGTTTTAGGCAGAAGAAAATCGTTTACAAGAAAAAACTTTAATCCAAAAATCAACATCAAGTCGTAGGCCATTAAAACTTCATTATATTTAAATTGATTGAGGTACAAAGTTCTTTATGTATTTGTTGTCATTTAATTGTTTATAAAAAAACATTCAAAACTCTTATTTTGTGCTGAAATTCTCAGGTGATTTTTTTTGTGACACAACGAAATAGTCACAATAATGACACAAAAAAATAGTCGTAGCACATAAACATACATGCATGTGTATACAAATCATGTATGTATGTACATTAGGGTGGTCCAAAGAAAAGTAAAGTCATATATTGAATGCCTCCACCCCCCTATAAAGAAAAAATATACCCCTATTTTGTTTTTAATCTAAAAATATTTAGAGGTCGCTCGAAGCGCCCAAAGTTTACCATGTATTTTATATGGAAAAAACAAATATTCGTAGAAATGGTATACATTTTGAAAATCAATATTTTTGAGCGGAAAACTCTGTTTCTCTTCAAGAGACTTCCAATAATAATACCCAATTGTTTTGGTCTAAGATCCAACAGATCCAACTATTTAGTGGATGAAATCTACTTTATCTGAAATGTAACGTGTTAATAAATATCTCTATTGTCTATTTTTTTCCTGGCCTACCTATTGGGTTGGCAGGTATGAACAGGTAGGTAATACTAGTAATTTTCAATTATTTGTCTAACACATTCCATAGACTTTATGCTTTCGATTGGTATATATATGTATGTAATTTGTTCATTAAACAAATGAGAGCAAAATAAAAAAAATAATAATAATTTTTGAATATTTAATTAAAAATATCCTGGCCAGGATTATTTCAGCCAACCCACAGATAAAGTAAATTTCATCCATTAAACAGATGGGAGAAGGTCGTGCCTGTGTCGGATCTCTTACTAATATTCAACCAGTTTTTGCCAGTAAAGATATGTTATTGGTCCCCCAAATAAATTTTCTGGGATTCCTGGCGGACCTATAAAATATAGTTACTATGAAAAAATGGTTAAATAAACAATTAGTTGTTATTACTGGGAATCTCCTGAAGAGAAAGAGAGTTTTCCAAATGTATTGATTTTCACGAATTTTATACCATTTCATCGAAAAGTTTTTGTTTCCCCATATAAAGTACATGGAAAACTAAGAGCGCTTTGAGCGGCCTCTAAATATTTTTGGATTTCAAAATAAAAAAATAGGGGTATATATTTCAATATAGAACAATCCTAGAAGGTGAGAGAATTATAATTACAACTTTACCTTTTCTAATGATTTGTTTGGACCACCGTAATGTACATACTTAAATACATATATGAGTATGTTCATACGCGACCACGAAAGTTCTCTTTCAGAAACCTATAAAGTAAGTGTGAGCAGATACTGTTGCTACCAGTGTTGCCATTTTAGCCTTTTGGAGCTAGATTTAGCTCTTTATTTTTCTATTTAGCTCCGAAAATTGGGTTTTAGCTCCTAGCTCCTGTTTTTAGCTCTTTTCAAATTTATCTAGCACTTTTTTAGCTCCAAAAAGTTTTAGTTGATTTGGTGTATATAAGCCAAAACTAAAGCGTTGATAAAATCGAAATTTCGAGATGCAGTGTATCCACCATAAATCTTGGATATAGGTTAAAGAACTCAAAAATTAATAAGAAGAAAATCATTTGGAAGGGCGGATTTTGTTTTACCTTACTAATTTTACCTTTACGGAGAGCTGGAAGTAAAACTTTCCAGAAAAATTATTCAAATATCTGAAATTACAGACTTTAACAGTTTGTAATGAATTTTTATTTCACTGTTATGAGTGCGATAGCAACGAATTCGAAATATATGCACCTTATTTTGGTTTTAAAAGATTTTTTCAGCCCTTAAACTTATAAAATTTGTTGTTTTTATTAAAATGTAAAAACAACATTACGTCAATAAATGCTCAACCTTAATAAAAATATATAGCTCTTCATGTTAGCTACTATTAGTATTATTTAGCTCCTTTAGCTCTTTTTTTCGACCGTTTTAGCTCCAAACTTAATGTTTCTCTGGCAACACTGGTTGCTACTTCTCCCATGCCTCGGAGCATTTAGCACTTTCGCAAAACTCATTTATTTTGCACTCGTCATTTGTCTTGGTAGAGTCAAGTTGGATTAACTCACGGTGTACTATGAATCTCATTTCGCGCGTGAAATCGTTCTCGGCGAAAAATTAAGTCAGATTTTGTGATTAGTAAAAATACACACGTTAAAGGTTGTATATGTGTATACATGTATTTATATACATATATATAATATATTATATCAATATATATATGTATATTCACTATTTCTTGTGAATTAAATATTAGATATACATATATGTTCGTATTAACGCCAATTTTGGAATTTAAATCGATAAGTCAGCTGTACCTACATTGACAACAAGTGCCGTTTTATCATAAGCGCAATATTGTTCATATTGCCGGTAAATATTGTCAACAAACTTTCTTTCTTTAATTAAAATATGTACATTCATATATGAAATATTCCGCTGTGGTGTAGTGGTTAGCAGTACGCGCTACCATTCCGCAGGGCCTGGGTTGAAGCCCGTTTCAACCCAACAAAAAATAAAAAATATGAAGTTTTTTTCTAATAGTGTTCGCCTTTCGGCAGGCAGCTTCCCATAAAAATGCAATCGCCGTTCGGAGTCGGCGTGAAGTTGTAGGTCCCTCCCCTTTATGTGACAACATCAAGGCGCACGCCTGAGGAGGTCGGCCAAACAAATACTGATTTCGGTTACAGGGTTGACATATTTTACACCGGGGAAGGGCAAAATATTTTGGGAGAAACGAAATCACAATAAGATATGTATAAGCGCCAATCTATTACACGGTGCTACAAAGAAAGTCTTCAAATACACCCGAAACAAAACTTAGTGAAGGCTGTAGTACAACATAAAAATAAGTTCCGTATAGTTCCTGAAACCGTAATTTTATTTAAAAACAACCGTTATGTTCGTTCTTGATGCACTTATCTATTAACAGCTTAAATATTTTTCATCCGATTTTAAAATCCAAACATATTTTGAAAATAGGATTTATAGACCTTTAGAATGATGAACAATATTGTTAGACTTAGCGTGTGGAGAGTTTTCATCGGTTAAACTTTAATAAGCCCCTATTTTTCTTAATTTTTTTCATCTTTGACCAAAGTGGCCAAATATGTAGTATTTACCTGAAAGAACATTTATTCTCGAAAAAACTAATACCTCACCTAATAAAATTTCACAGAAATTGTCGAAGTTAAGCAATTTAATACGGCCTTGAATTTATTTGGGTGTATGTACCGGACTTTTAAACTTTTTTAGTTGGGTGGCTAAGGAATTCATCTTTTTTACTCAAATTTGATATATAGGAAAATCTTTGGAAACGGGGACTTTTCAATAAACAAAAAAAAAATTTCGACTTAGTATCACAAGTTTTTTTCATAAATTATTACTTGCCACCGTAATTGGAGCAGATGAGCGACAACCAAAATTAAGCTGTGATATTTTTATTTACATTTATTTACTAGTGCCCTGCAGGGAAAGCTACTAGTTGTGAACTAGAATTCTACCAGTTTGCGTTTCAGCTCAACTAGTTCATGTTCTATCCTTTTTCAATGTTAGCGACTGGTATTTTTAACATTGCGATGTCCTACGAGATGTCAATTGTCAGGCTATGCATCAGCATCTACTAGTATAAATACTAGTAGCATCATACCAGTTGATGAGGTAGTCTGCAAATTCATGCCCCGTGAAAAGCATTAGTGTGCCTTTTTGCTCGCGACGCTCCAGCAGTCACAATGGTCGACAGAGCAAAGCACTCGCGTGTTAAGCCTGAGGTCCCAGGTTCAAATCCTGGCGCAGGGAAAATTTTCTTATTTTATTTTATTTTTATTTTTAATAAATTTATTTTTTTGTTTAGGCTGTTTATTGTAATTTTTAAATTTAATAAAAAAATATTTTTGTTTTATTTCTTTGTTTTTATAGCACAAGCATTTCTTCCTAAATGTTTTTTTGTAATGCAATTAGATTTTCAAATTTGTTATTTATTTATAAATTGAATAAATTGTTTTTACTTACATTTATTTAACTTTAAAAATCTTAACCACCTCCAAGCGGCCTCGAGAACCTGCGATTTCAGAACCAGAACCAGTAGTCTTCACGTGACGCCACAGCCGACATTTGTAAGAAAAGCAATTAATTGCGTTTTATTTTTGGCTTTGGCAATTCAAAGGCAGATGTCGCTGATCGCTTAAGTTCTTCGAAATTGTCGAACTGGTAGGCACATACTAGTTAATGAACTAGTATTTTTTCTAATTGGTTTGGCTTTTCACTGCAGGGTGATGTCAAAATAAAATATGTTAAAATAATAATTGTCTCAAATGTGATGTAAATGTACAGATGTAAGTGTTATCGTGAGGAATTTTATTCGTATATGTGTGTATGTTAGCTAATTGTTTTCTTATTGCAATATGCAATATTTTATCTAATGGTTGTGTTTTTTATGTTTTATCCCAAATAAATAAAAAAAAACAGATGCCCTGAAGAAGGCAAAAAACCACGCCGATACACGTAGGAGGAAAAGAGGAAACTTTTTTTTTGCTTTTCAACCTTGCGACCCGAAGAGCTTCTAAAATAACCAAAAGATAATTTGAAAACTAGCCCGAAAATTAAATAAACTAATTGAAGTACATTATAACCCATGTAATTAGTATTTTTTAATTGTTACTCTATTTAAACCATATCTTTAAAATTGTTTCATACTAGCCCAGTCATGTTAGATTTTCAAGGTTGCAGTAACTCGCATAAACCTGAAAACTGGTACGAATTAGGGATGCAATTCAAAAAAATACATCGATTTTTTTTTATTTGATGCATCGAAATATAGCAATGAACCATACCGGTGTATCGTATAATAACATCAAAATTTTCGATACATCGAATGTTTCTTTTAATTAAAAATATGCAACAAGAAAATCAAACAACAAGAAATGTATTTAGTGATTTATAAGGTTAAAAATCCCAGTTTTTCTGTTCTTTTGACAAACCTTCGATAAAAGTTTCGGAAGTACTGAAGTGGCGACAGTTGTTAAATGTTTATAAACATAATGAAATAATATGAAGTGTGTCTCTGACATTCTATTTCGGTACACTTGTTTGACAATTTATTATCACAATTTTTTCTTTCCTTTGACTTTCATGTTAACCCTTTTGAGGGAGAAATTATGAAGTTTTTTATTTACATTGCCACTTGTACAAAAGCACACATATGTCACGTTGCAGTACTGATGTTTTCAGTCCCACAGGATGAGGATTTAAACCGAAATCAGGCAGAGGTATGCAACAAAACCAAGGGTTAATGCCAGAACTGAAAAAATTAAAAAAAGCGAATATGACAAACTCAAATTGTTCTTTGAAATAAGCATCAATTCGTAATCAGCACAAAAAAGTCTATCAAAAATAGCTTTAACATTTTAGGAAACAAAATCAGTGTTGCCCCGTGTTATCGTTAATTTCTTTATAATCCAATAATCGAACCAATTAGTATGGGACGGTGGAGTGCAATAAGGCCCGCGGATATAACGCCCATGGGCTTTATTTCCTAACAAAAAGAAATGAAGCCCGCGGGCGTTATTGCCTTCTCGACAAAGAAATTAAGCCCGTGGGCTTTATTGCCTTTTGTCGGTGGGCATTATTTCCCTTTCGTTATGGAAATAACGCCCGCGGGCGTTATTTCATCTTTATGGTGACCCTTGTCTCAATTTTAGAATACGTACATCCATAACTCCTGTTCTAAATGAAAACTAACTAATATGGTAACATTGAACTAAATATTTCTTTTCCTTTATTATACGAAGAAACTGAAATTAACAAATTTCAATGCATACAGGGTGTCCCAGAAGTAACCAGCCAAACTTTAGGGGAAGGTAGGTGGGGAGGTGAGCTCTCTGATAAACAAAATATTTTCAGGTAAAAGAATTACCGTTTTTGAAATATTAACATTTTTTAGAATTAAAAAAAAATCGTGCCTTTTCATGTATTTTCTTTAACTGCATCTACAAACCAGGCTATACTTAGTAAATTTTTTATGTAAAATACTTCCAGATAGTTGCTTCTTAATACTCAAATGCAATATAGTTAAAATATATTAAGGAACTATCATAAAATTATGACTATTTTGGGATTTTTAACTTTTTGATATTTCCTTCCCTAACTTTGACTATCTCTGGTGAAAAAAATATGTACTGAGCTATAACTTTAGATTACATAAAAAAATTGACCATTTAATAAAGATTTCAGTGAGGTACCAGTCTTACTGTTTCGAATAGAAAAAAAGTTATAGCCGCTTTAGTGGCAAAGAACACGCTAGAATGTATTAATAGATTTCAATTTAAGTTGCTCTTGTTACCGACCAATGACATGCTAAATAGTACAAAGGTACATTATTACCTGCTCCTGACATTATTTTGTGTTACTTACCGGAGTTAGTAAAAGTGGATTTTGTGAAATTGGACCTTTCGAACATTGTGTTATTAATACTATGGCAGATATACTATGCGGATATTCAGCTAATTTACGGTGAAGCTTGCTGTAATGCCAGAGCTGCTCAAAGACTCTATGCAGAGCGATACCCCAATCGTCGGCATCCGGGTCGTGAAGTATTCGCCCGGACCCATAGAGAAATATATGAAGGTAAGTGATTTTTACACCTTTCTTGTGTGCTTGCTTGTTAACTATCATTTTTTAACTTTTTTAAGGTCGCATACCTGGAAGGCGCGGCGGTGAAACAGGACGTCGTGCGACGGTAGATGTTGAACTTGTGTTAGAGGAAGTGGAACTAGGTCAATCGACTTCAGTGCGAATGATGGAAAGACGGACGGGAATACAAAAAACTACAGTTTACAAAGCTTTAAAAGGTCATCGATTTCATCCCTACCACATTCAACGTGTTCAGGCTCTACAGGACAGAGATTACCTGTCGAGGGTTAGATTTTGTCGTGAAATGTTTCGAATGCATGAATCAGACCCCAACTTTTTTAATAAAATAATTTGGAGCGATGAATCATCATGCAAACGTTATGGTTATTTTAATTTACATAACCTTCACAGTTGGCAGATAGACAATGCTCACGAAATGAGAGAAGATCGTTCGCAGTACCGGTACAAAATAAATTTATGGTGCGGTATTTTTAATTGTCAGATATTGGGACCTGTGGAACTGTCGCCAACGCTCAACTCTCACAGTTATTTAGAGTTCCTTCAGGAACGGCTTCCAACTCATTTAGAAGATGTACCCTTAAACCTGCGGCGATGGCTATGGCTGCAAAATGACGGGTGCCCTGCTCACTACGGGCGTGAAGTAAGAGCTCATATAGACGAAATTTATCCTCGCCGATGGATTGGACGATACGGGACAATCACGTGGCCCGCTCGATCGCCAG